AGGAGCTTCTGGCAGAGGGCAATGCCGCCACCGACAAACTGATCCTGAGTGCCACCCTAGACTCCACCATAATTCAACAAGCTAGAGACTTACGTGCCCGTTTTCATCTTTCTCCCCAAGCTATACATGGGCTTCTTCCCACTCTACCAATTCAGAGCTGCAAGCATTTGGTCCATGCCTGCTCCTCTTGTGCCCCTCCTCTACCTCTGGGACCATTACAACCCGCCGGAACTCTCCCTAGAGTCCTTGGTCCCAACATATGGGAAATGGATGTCACTCATTTTTCTCCTTTTGGCCAGCTCAAGTATATCTATCATATTATTGACACAATGTCCATTTTGCATTGGCCTGTTCTGGTGAGATGGCTTCTCATGCCATAAAGACTGTCAAATATGCCATGGTCCTTATGGGAGTTCCTTGGCAAATTAAAAACAGATAATGGTCCTTATTATGTTTCTGCTACTTTCAGCCATTTTTGCTCTGACTGGAATATTAGGCATATAACTGGGATCCCTTACTATCCTCACCAGCCCTGGGTCTGGACCAGATGATTGATTGGAGGAACAGAGAGTTGGAGAGCGATCATAGCCGGGGGAGAGCAGCCAGAGCCGATGACCACACATTTCTTCTCTGATTTTCTCTAAGATAGACTTTCATTTAAATCCTTAGAAACAGATTTCAGAGTCATGACTGTAGCCTCAGTAGATGCCTATAAGGTGTTGAAGCTAGGACACATTTTGGCCATTCAGTTACAAAGTCTAGCTGGAACCTTTAGGGAACATCTCTCAGTGTCAGATCTTATCTTTTCATTGTATAGGAGGGTTATATAAATCTCAATATATCTGGAATTTGGGGGAATAAACCTGAAAATAACAGCTCTTAGGCTTCAGTTTTCCCGAGTAGAACAATGGATTCCCAATGAATCCATTTAGAAAACTGGCAAATTGCTAAGACAGAGAACAAGCCTCAGTACGGAAAATAAAATCACCTTACCTATGATTTCCAGAATTACTGAGATGCTTTGGTGGTGGGCTGTAACAGTTTGAATGGGGATCCCACCACCAAACCTTTTCCAGCATTATCCTTCCAGCTCAGCCATCACTGGAGTGGAAGGCCCATCCTCACATGAGGGAAACTGACAGTGTACTCATCAGTGACTTCACTTGCTTTCAGGGGTTAGGGGGTGGGAAGCCTACTTTCTTTTAGAATTCCATTGAGTATTCTTTTCCATTGGCTTATATTCACCTATGGTAATCACTCCCCTTCTTAAATCTTCTCTTCACGTCTCTGTGACCTCGTAGACACTGACTGATCAGTCAAGGAAAACAATTTGAAACATTCAAGTACTCAACTGGGCTTTTTGTTGTGCTTATATTTGCTGGCCATTTTAGACTGTCTTAATTTGTCAAAAACTCTAAGACCCAAAATTTAAAAGTGATGTCTAGAGTAGTCCAGTTACTGAAATAAGTACCTAGTAACAGTCTATATTTCCTAGAATATAATCTTTTACATACTGTAATCTTCCCTTTTATCACTTATAAACTTCTTTGTAACTTCCACAACCAGTAATAATCGTTTGAAGCTTTCTGATTTTTGTCACCACTTTTTCATGTTTCCATTGGGGAATAATTCATACATTAGAATGAAACCACCATACAAAATCTGTTTTATCTAAAAAGCAGTAGTCTTTTGTCTTTAATCATCCCATTCCAGGGGGTCCAAAACCCTCTCCTGACCTCTGCAGGAACTGCACAAGAGTGCACTGACAGACAGGCAGGCAAAAGACCAATAAATGCCAAATAAAAATAAATAAATTTTATAAAATTTGTATAGGAAAACAAGTAAAACATGTTAACGGTCCTGAAGGCATTTTTTTTTCCACAATAAAATTAGACATTTTGTTTGAAATTTAAGTCCTAAAAGAGATACTTGGCAACTGTTTGTGTTAAAACGACTTGATTATTCTAGTGCAGTTTATGTGATGTGCCAGAACAAATGCAAAGAACTGTGTATCCTATAGCAGAACTCGGCCAGGGGAAGATCACCATCCACCAATTCTGTTTCTCTACAATCCACCCTGTCACTGGAAACTATGCAAGAAAAAATGCTGGAGAGGAATAGAAGCAACAGAAGATTTGTGGGCCATGAAAGGGGCTCAGTAGATGAGCTCACCATGCTGTTGATAGTCTAGCAATGCCTATGTGTAGGATAGAGAGGACAGCCCAGAAGTTTCTCAGTCCACACAGCTGGACATCTCAGCAGTTCCATTCTGGCAGAGATCTGAAAAATTCCTAGAGTTGTTCCATTTAGTCCATGATGGAAGGCTAATGGAGTCAAGTCTGTCACTGGAGGATTGTAGCAGCAACAGCAGCAGCCACAGGAGTAGGCACACTCAGCAGAGAGAAGACACATGAAGCCAGGACAAACTGCATTTTCTTCAGACATCTTTATTTAGGTGCCAACCACATTTTGCCTGTTTATAAACAAAGGTTGGAGCTATGATTTTACAGGACATATGTGTAAGCCAATTTCTGCTTTAAGTCCTGACAAATAAACTATATTGTATATGTCAGTCAGTGACAGGTGAAAATATGCCCTCATAAGTGTGGACACCGTCACAGGCCTCTTACAAGAATTTCCAGACAAGTGAGGAAGAGGCGAAGCCACCAACAAGGATTTCCCCCAACTCACTGTGAATTGACCATGACAAGGCTACTCATTTCACAAACACTGATGCACAGACCTCAGCTAAAGGCAATCAGCTTCAATCAGTTCTACCTCAGAAACCTATTGGGGGTAGGTTGTATAAACAGGTTATTAGTAGCCAGGTGTATTGGGGGTAGGTTGTATAAACAGGTTATTAGTAGCCAGGTGTATTGGCACAGGAATTTCACACCAGCACATGGGTGGCATAGGCAGGTGGTTATCTGTTCCACAAATCATGAAGATTATTGCCAGTACTGCTGAAAGTATATGGTAAGCCACTATTGCTGAAGACATCATTTGCTTTGCTTGCAGAACATGGAGAAATTATGCTGCAATAAGGTGGAAGCTTCCTCCATTCTAGCTGGCTTGCATATACCAGGTGCAATGCTGACTGCTGGTGAACTGCCAAGAGTCCTGTTCATCTATAAACCCTGTGTGACTAGTACCAATAGGACAGGCAGAATATGCCTCCTGGTGCCACAGTAGCACAACTATTGTTCAAGTCCAACAGCTTTTAGATTGGATTTACAGCCCACCCCACAGGAGAAAATTTGTGTCTGATATTATAAGACAGGAACAAACCTTGTGGCTGGAGACTTCATGAGCACCGTGGCAAAGCAACTGCTATTGTTTTGTTTAGTGGACGTCATGTGCTTCTCAAATTCCCTTCTCAACATTTCAGTTCATGTCTAATATGTCACTGCTATGTCAGCTGCAATCCATCATGGAAGGAAACTTCCTTTCACAATGGAAGGTACACCACAAAGTCTCAGAATGAATGATGAAGATCCTGAGAAAGTGAGTACTGTTCTAGCACAGTGGCCTAATATTAGGCATAGAGGACATTTGAATCCACACCTTCCACCCACAAAGATCTAAAAGCATTACAAAGAAATGTAAGAGTCAGAGGAAGGGGTGGCGTGTCATTGGGGAAATTCTCTCTAAATTGACGCAGTGCCCCTCACAGGGAGGCATGAGACTCAAGAAATAAACACATATTCTGGAATGCTCAAATTTACAAGATTCCCAAGGCCACTCCACAACGTTATAGAAGTGGTAAATAACTCTGAAAAGAAGAAATTACCCAACTAAACAGGCTGCCTGCCAGTCGTGCAGAGATTTCAGATTGCAGCTTCCATGAGTCATCACTTAGACTGGATGGGCTTTTTGGTAATTCAGCTATCTGTGCTTGTCCGTGCTCCTGGAAGTAACTCCAGTAAACTCCTTGGTTCACCTAATCAGACTTTGGCAGAATTCCTTTTTTATTTCATTAGTTTCCTATCTCAGGTGAGTAGACATTTGCTAAGGTGTCCCCAGGAAAAGTCTCATAGAACACTGCTGCTGATGGGAACTGTGACAGCTCAATCCTTTCCCCTGTTGTTTATATTCTTAGAGGTTTGAGAGTGAATTTTCCCTAACTGAAGTGAACTCATACAAAACATTAACAGCATTTGGATTTTACATTTCAAGGGATTTTCTCCCATGATTTTTTGACATTCAAAGAACACTGTTGTGAAACTGCTCTGCTATGTAATTTAGGAAGTTTAACAACAATAGACATTGGTCACATTCATGGGATGCTTTGCCACAATTAATTTTCTGTTGTAATCAAAAGGAAATATGAAATGCAAAGGTTTCCACATTCTTTGCATTGACAGCATCTTTCTTCAGTATGAATTTCTCATGTAATTTAAGACAAATGTACAAGTGTAGGATTTGCACTGCTTTCATTCATTTCACTTTGGTCCCATGTGAATTTTCACATAAAGGAAGATAAGTGTTACATCAAAGGCTTTACTACACTATTTGCATTCATAGGCTTACTAAAATATGAATTCTTTCACAGAAAGATGATTGACTTCTAAAGGTTTTCCATACTGTTCCTATTCACAGGGTGTTGTGTAGTATGAAGTAGTCATGTCTCTGAACATCACTGACTTCTGAAGTCTTCACCACATTATTTACATTCATACACGTTTTTCTGCAGTATGTCTTCTTTCATGTAAAGGCTTACCACGTTGTTTACATTCATGTGATTTCTGTCCTGTATGAGATTTTTCATGTAACTTAAGACAATTCTGCCACCTAACGGACTTACCACACTGTTTACATTCAAATGGTTTCACTCCTGTATGAATTTTTTCATATACTTGAAGAAAACTGTATAGTGTAAAGGCTCTGTCACATTGTTTACATTCATATGGTTTTCCTCCAGTATGCATTTTCTCATGACTCTGAAGATGACTGTTATGTCTAAAAGCTTGTCACACTATTAACATTCATATGGTTTTTCTCTAGTATGAATTTTTCATGTACTTGAAGGCTTTTATACCATCTAAAGGTTTTATCGCATTCTTTACATGCATAGGGTTTTTCTCCAGTATGCGTTTTTTCATGATTTTTAAGATGACTATTATGCCTAAAGGTTTTACCACATTGTTTACATTCATATGGTTTTGCTCCAGTATGCGTATTTTCATGACTTTTAAGATTACTGTTATTTCTAAAGGTTTTACCACATTGTTCACATGCATAGGGTTTCTCTCCAGTATGCATTGTTTCATGACGTTGAAGATCACTCTTACATCTAAAGGCTTTACCACATTGTTTACATTCATGTGGTGTTTCTCCAGTGTGCATGTTTTCATGACTTTTAAGATGACCATTATATCTAAAGGCTTTACCACATTGTTTACATTCATATGGTTTCTCTCCAGTATGCATTTTTTCATGACTTTGAAGATCACTGTTATGTCTAAAGGATTTACCACAGTTTACATTCATATGGTTTTTCTCCAGCATGAATTTTTTCATGACTTTTAAGATGACTGTTACGTCTAAAGGTTTTACCACATTGTTTACATTCATATGGTTTTTCTCCAGTATGAATTTTTTCATGCAACTGAAGGTACCTGTGACATCTAAAAGGTTTACCACATTGCTTACACTCATATGGCTTTTCTCCAGTATGAATTCTTTCATGGAAGTGAAGGTAACTGTGCCATCTAAACGCTTTACCACATTGCTTACATTCATAGGGTTTTTCTCCAGTATGAATTTTTTCATGTAACTGAAGATAACTGTGACGTCTAAAAGCTTTACCACATTGTTTACATTCATAAGGTTTTTCTCCAGTATGTCTTCTTTCATGTAACTGAAGATAACTGTGACTTCTAAAGGCTTTATCACATTGTTTACATTCATACGGTTTCTCTC